GACCTTAAGTAAAGAACAGTTTTTCCTATAATTTTTTCCTGATTTTTCATCATTTTTTTTTTTATTCATAGATCTACAAACATAAAAGCTATGTTTATCCTTAAAAGGTGTCTCTTGGTACATGTAATTTCGGTTGCTTTAAAAAGTACCCCTGCCGCAGTAAACCTGCAGACTTAATATTACATTATACTCAAATATTCCCTGAAAACTGTCAGCTTTATTTCCTATTTAAATAAAATGAATTATAATGAGTACCTAGGTTTGCTGCTACAGGGAAGGTATTGAGGTGAGTTTTATATTGAAATGTTGATAGCTTAGTATGAAATAAACAAAATTGCCAAATTTGATTATAATATATCCATAGATAAGCAAACTACAACAGTTTTTTTGATTCTCCGTAAGAATAACATGGACATTTTGAATTTAAGTTTTTTTAACTATATCCATAACCGTTAGGCATACAACAGCCCTTTGCTATACTAAATTATTTCTTTTTTTAAGCTCTACAAAATGGGTTAAGAAATAAATTGCAATTTGTTTGGTTATTAGGGTCAAAAATGGGAAAAACCTATTTTAACCCCATAACCCCATATTGATTTTTAGCTTCAATATAAAATAACTAAAAAACCATCAAAGATACGAATTTCACTACATTACATTTTTAAAGATTATAATTTTTTGAGTAAATTGACGTTCATTGCAATGTTCTACCTAGAATAGTTCTCGAGTTATATGCGTTTTAGTAAACGGCGCCCCCCGCCATATTGCCCCCCTCCCCCCCGGGTTGTCGACCACGCTGGGGGGCGACGACATGCGTTTTCGTGATCACTATAGTGCCTATAACAACAATCAGAAATAAAATTGCGTCACCCTTTTCATGTATGCTCAACCCCTTCAGATCCTGGACTAAAAGAGGTACTCATTTAGTAAGCAGCATCGTATGTGGCTTACTTTATAACTTAACCGATAATGGCTGATTCATTTATAAGATAAAAACCGTTGGCCACCAATTTTGTTTGTACAAAACTTCTTTATGTTTTGAAATACAAGTACAAATTTTGTAATATAGTGTACTATGTTGCCTATGATGTGCTAATAGATCTACTTTAAAATAGAGCAAGTTGTTATAAAGTAATGTTAAATTTATTAAAATCTCCTAATTTTTTGAAGTAGGCCTACAACAAACCAATCTTGTGCATCATTATTTTTTTAGTTTTCAAAATTCCTAAGATCAGTAACATAACGCAAATTTCAAGCGTTATAAAATATTTAAAAGGTTGATTAAAGAGAACAAAAAAAAAGTTTTCCTACAGTCACCTGACAAAGCGGGCTTCCATGGACTGATTATAGTACAGAAAGTTGCTAATTGCCGCACTCCAGTATTCCAACCAAACAACACAAAACAGCGTGCTTTTATTAGGCCCGTAATACGTGAACGCTTGAAAATAAGTTGGCAATTCTTAAAGATACTACGGCTACGATCAGCTGGTGTAGCGTTTACAATTTCGTTCAATATTCGGCTTATATTAACAGTCCAAAATTACGTCTAACTTCAATTATTATTATTCAAAGCTGACTTGTTTCGTTGCAATGCAACATCGTTGGACCTTTACGTCAAAAACATAAAATTTACACAAAGACGTACACGTACGTATTGTAATACACACGACACGGGACATTTAAACACGAAAAACACGATAGCGCTATCATGACACATGACACGGCGTGGTAGCGGTTGTAGGTTTACCTTAACTAACCTAAAAACGTGTTGCACAGTGTTTGAAAGACTAATTACTTATTTGCTTTATAGTGACTGTAGGAAAATTGAATGTGTAACGCGAGTGCAAAGTGCCACTTCGCACACTAGTTGCACAAATAACAATTTTCATAAATGCGTATTTACAAATAAAACGTGATTATTTAATGAACAGAAAACATTACTACACATTATAGCGAAACACCTAATTTTTAAACACAACATACACCGAAACCAACTGTAAATATGTTTTTTTTTTTTGTGCTGAAAGGTAAACGAAGATTTAAAAAAATACTTCTGCCGCCAACAAATGACCTGCAAAAACTATTTACATCATCAGCCTCTTTGATCAAACAGTTGATTTTTTTAGACGGAACAGCCAATGTGAACATTTTAATCTCAGTCAGATTTTATTCTCAGTAACGCTAAAACTGTTGGTAAAGAGGACAAAGCGAGTCCCCGCGGCGATGAGTGCGTCTATTGTTATAATCTGAACGATCTGGTAAATTAACTTTAAATGCTCATCATCTTTTTTTGTTGCTAACATTTCGTAATTTATCAACAATGCAAATTATGAATTCTCTTAAAAGGTCACTTTTAGCCAAAAGCTGTTTGCTAAAAATATGCAATCGTCAATTTATATTTCTAACTACCAATAATGCGTAAAAGATTCTCAAAAACGTGTTATAAATTTCATTGGTAAACATAAAATTCAAAACATAGACATTGAGGTGGTTGTATACAGGGTGGTAAAAAAGTCCCTGGACAGTTAAATGTTTTAAAAAATAATGCAGATAGAGCTACAATACTTGGTACAAAGTTACAGGGCATAAAACTCTATTTTAACACATATTCAGTAATCCAATAACTCTTCAGGGGGACGGCCCACAAGGAGTCGGAAGAAAATCTTAAATAGAAGCATAGGTCAATATGCACATCAAATTAAAGGTCTCTTTTGGTAGAATACAATGCCGCAAACCGCACTTCAAAAGGTTGATCCTGTGCAAAATGACAGTTGTTCAAAGATTCATTTAATTTACATTGCTATTATACGCTTTCTCTTCAGGGGGCATAGTCCTAGGAATCGGAAGAAAATTGTTAACGTAAGAATAGGTCGATATGCATATCAAATTAAAGGTCTTCACTTGTAGATTACGATGCCGTAAATTCAAGCTCAAAAGAATGCCTGAGTAAAAAATGGCAGTCGTTCAAAGATTCAAAATGGCGGATTCAAGAAATCTTTGAACATCTGCCATTTTGCGCAGGATCAACCTTTTGAAGTGCGGTTTGCGGCATTGTATTCTACTAAAAAAGACCTTTAATTCGATATTGACCTAAGCTTTTATTTAAGATTTTCTTCCGACTCCTTGTGGGCCGTCCCCCTGAAGAGTTATTGGATCACTGAATATGTGTTAAAATAAAGTTTTATGCCCTGTAACTTTGTACCAAGTATTGTAGCTCTATCTGCATTATTTTTTAAAATATTTAACTGTCCAGGGACTTTTTTACCACCCTGTATAATGTTTTTAACTAAATTTAGAGTAAATTTATCGGATAAAATCCCTACCATAAACGTATTATTTAACATATTATTTAGACTATTAATTAGTTCAATCTGCACATTATTTTGCAATAATGGTAGTTTGGAAAATATTAAAGTGATGAATTTTACAAAATAAACATAGAACTATGAAGTTAGTGGTTCAAAATATAAAACGGTTTTGGTAGGATTTGGTTTAAAATAAGCATCTTATACAAGTAATATAATGAGTTTACGTTTGTGTACATATATGTTTAGATATATTCTAATAGTTGTATAATTCTGCATTTGTGTACAAAAATTTGTTCATACTAAGCAATGTATTTAAAAAAAATTTCAGTTTTGCTTAAAATTGGTAAGCCGGTACTAAACATAAATTGCTTTATTAACACCAGAATATTTTATTGCCCCTTTGAGTAAATTTATAATAATAAATTTTAAAACTTATTACTTTGAACGTGTGCCACAAAATCAAATTCATTTAGCAAGGGTATCAAACTAGCTTGGAAAGGACTAATAATGCTTTAACACCATCGTTTATAAACTGCCGCGAGCAAAACTGGACCATAATGGAATCATCCCTTGCTGTATGACTCATTTAACTAAACTGATAAACACATATTTTATACATATTTGCAATATAATTTGTTTGGAAATATAAAATATACACACACATATATATATAAACTGAAATTAACGTTTAAAGTGCAAATCTCTATATTTTAATGATGTTTATAAATTACTAGCGTGTCAAATCCTATTTAACAAGCTACACATGTGTGTATTGTATTGAATAACGTTTGCAACATTGAAAACTAATCGGACCAGCAATATTTTGCTTCTAAAAAATACATTAAAATGTATATTTTTTGTTACATCGTGCTGCTCTGAGCCACCGATTTACATCAATCAACATTTTTGAACGAAAAAATAAAAACTTTTTATAGCACACGTAATATTACCTGTATTTTATTTTATACAGTGAAGGAACCTTTTTAATGATCATATTCAAATTTAAAAAATATATAAACAACTGTTAATCTGTGTTTCGCCGAGTACGTAGTAACATAAGACGTGTAAGTACAAGGTTGAACAAGGATTTCTAAGATAATTACAAAAGATTAGTTTTGTTTCTTATAAAGAGATTTAAAAAAATGTAATATACGTGGAATTGGGAGAAGGGTAGCATAAAAACAATTGTCTGCTTAGCCTCCAGCGGGATCCTGCTTTGTTTAAACGCTCGTTGACAACTAATTTTGAATTTTCTTTAAATCCTCCTTTCATTTTGACAAAAAAAGAGTAAATAATCTAATTAGTAAATTTTAACACATTTCTTTGCAACCATATATTTTTAAATCTTATTACGGAACTATAACAAATAAATGTATATAATAATTGTAGAAATCTGTAATGACTACAAAAACAACAAACCAGCTTCATACACAGCGTCAAACACATATTCGACACACATAGCTTTATGTAAGTGTCTACATAAAATAATTTTCTTTTATACCATCGAATGCGCCATTAACAGATACATAAATACCTAACATTCTACCAGATTGACTGATCACACTGCTTTATGTAAGTGTTCGCAACAAAGTATCATACAAAATAAAGCTAATCATCATCCACCTCATTATTAGATATTATAACCCCACTAAGCAGTTTGACCTATCAAACCTCATATCAGAAAAATATCTAATGAAATGCGCCAAAAAGTGCAGTCAGAGTTGGAACACTGACTTGGAAATTCCTCCACCAAATAACGGAGACCATGTAGAAGTTAGGTGGTGAAACCATGGTAGGAAAAACTTAGCAAGTTAGGATAAAAATTGTATATAAAGTTAACTTTTTATCTTCAATAATAAAGTTTTTATACCAGTTTACTTTCGTTTTAGGACACCCGGTATACAAAGAACTACTTTTTCAAGGAAAGTTTAAAGATATTTATTATTTTAAAATCAGTACAACACAAATGTCTTAGGAATTTACAGATGTCATAGTACTGACGCATTAAAATTATAGAACGAATAATTTAACTGCTTGACTTACAATAACGAAATTAATTTAGTACCAAAGAAAAATAATTTAAATATACAGTTGACGATAGATAAGCTCAGATCTGTAGTAAAAATGATTCAAATAAAAGAGGTCAGTTAAACACGTTCACAGAACACACAGCGAAGCGTAGCTTCTCAAATATTGACTTGACTATTTTTGTTAGAAGTTTATTGCATTGAATGAACATTGCAATTTAAATTCATATCTTTCTGAGAATTAGCCAAAGGGTAAAATAATTATTGACTGAATAAAATCCAATACGGACTTGTCATATACAATAAATTCGTTACTAAAGTCCTTTTGTAATCCAAACGTGTTCTATTCCTGTAGTACTGTCAAGAATAAGACTTACAGTATATACCAGAGCAATGGAGATGGGCGACCATCAAGCAGTTATGGAGTTCCAGGTCAGGGTGCTGGTAGTCCTGGAGGGTTTGGAGGTAATGGAGGTGGAAGACCATCAAGCAGCTATGGAGCTCCAGGTCAAGGTGCTGGTAGTCCTGGAGGGTTTGGAGGTAATGGAGGTGGAAGACCATCAAGCAGTTATGGTGCCCCTGGTGCCGGAGGAAACGGTGGTGGTCGACCTTCTAGCAGCTACGGTGCACCTGGTGCTGGAGGAAACGGATTTGGAGGAGCAAGTGGTGGAAGACCATCAAGCAGCTACGGCGCTCCCGGTCAAGGAGTTGGTAGTCCTGGAGGGTTTGGAGGTAATGGAGGTGGAAGACCATCAAGCAGTTATGGTGCCCCTGGTGCCGGAGGAAACGGTGGTGGTCGACCTTCTAGCAGCTACGGTGCACCTGGTGCTGGAGGAAACGGATTTGGAGGAGCAAGTGGTGGAAGACCATCAAGCAGCTACGGCGCTCCCGGTCAAGGAGTTGGTGGGGCCAGTGGATTAGGAGGAGGTGCTGGAAGGCCTTCAGGAAGTTACGGAGCACCCGGAGCAGGAGGTTCTGCAGGATCTGGAGGCAGTGCATCTGGAGGCTCGTACCTTCCCCCTTCACAGGGAGGTGGTCAAGGAGGATTTGGAGGAGGAGCCCCTGGTGGTCAAGGAGGTGGAGCACCTTCTGGTTCATACGGCGCACCCGGCGGAGGAGCACCAGGAGGCGGAGCACCATCTGGATCGTATGGAAAGCCATGAGCTGGAGGTTTTGGAGGTGGGTCACCATCCGGATCATACGGTGCTCCAGGAGGTGGTTCCCCATCTGGATCATATGGAGCTCCAGGGGGAGGTTCCCCATCTGGATCATACGGAGCACCAGGAGGTGCTGGCACAGGAGGGTTTGGAGGTGGTGCACCAGGAGTTAGTTCCCCATCTGGATCATATGGAGCACCTGCAGGTGGTTCCCCATCTGGATCATACGGAGCACCAGGAGGCGGTAGCACAGGAAGTCTTGGAGGACAGCCGTCCGGATCTTACGGAGCTCCAAGCGGTGGATTTGGAGGTGGAGCTCCATCAAGCTCGTACGGTGCACCTGGTGGTGGAGCTGGAGGACAGCCTTCGGGTAGCTACGGAGCACCCGGCGCTGGAGGTGCTACTGGCGGATCTCCTTCTGGCTCCTATGGAGCTCCAGGGTCAGGAAGTTCTGGAGGCTACAGCGGGTCTTCGCCTGCTGGTGGGGCTGGTGGCTACAGCAGTGGCGGTCCTTCTTCCTCGTACGGCGCGCCAGGAGCCGGAGGTGGTCAGCAGCAAAACCCCGACGGAAGCTACATCTATTAGACGAGAAAAGATTAAACCGGAACACTTCGAATATCTAGCTTTCACTGCCAATCGGATAGTTGTAAATAAATTAAAATTATTTTTAATTTATATTTTGTAATAAATCGATGTAAAACTTACTACTTCTTTTAATTTAACTTCCTGAAATCATATTTTGGAGTCCTATGAACACACAATACTATACATGACAGGCATTCTGGATCATTCATTGCCTTTTGTACAGATTCTGAGACTTAAAGTAAATCGCCCTGGCCTATAGCGACCAGCATTAAGTGTATAAATGCTATATGGCTATTATACATGTTTTTAATACGAATATAAGGGTTGATATTTTAACTAAATAACTCTCACACCTTCTTGAATACTAGATAATGGTTTACTGGTGGAACTGTTAGAATGTCCATTTTGTCCCGATAACAAAGTACGTACAATTCGGGGTGTGTGTGAAGTAACATCACAACAATGAAAACCTGTTAGATGTATTAACCTGAATGTACTCGAGTAGAGATTTTACATCAGGCCACGGTCCTCAGCTAACACAGAATTTTTTTAAATAGGCATAAGATATTTAAATAGGCATTTATTTGAAGCTGATTTAGGTATAGTACTGTATTTTTGTTTTGTATTGTTTTTGGCAAACAAATCAAACGAAAAAACTCTTACCACATTACATAAATATTAAATAATACAAAATAAAACCGTTTTCGTCAGGTTTTAAATTGTTTTACAAAGCAAAATGTAGTATAAAGTAGTATATTTGAACATATTATACTAGTTCTAATTTTTTCCCCATATGGTTACGTTTGAGATAGATATAGATCCTTTAATACAACCTTAATGAATTAATAGGCAAAATAAATCTTATAAATCACCATATATCTTTTTGTGTTTACGTAAAAACATGTGCTGCAAGTAAATTGAACGTTATATTGTGACATTAAATTATATAATAAAATAAAAACCAAATTATATCAATCCTAATTCCTTGCATTATTTTTCTATGATGTTTATAATAGTGGTACTGTACCATTAATTTACATGAGTATTTTCATGATTAAAATGCCTCTCTTATAAGTACGTTAGAGGTTCGTACTATGTACATAGAGTAATTACTCACTAGACTGTTAAGCTATTGTTAAGAAGCTATTGTCAAGAATAAGACTTACGGTATATACCAGAGCATCTAACACTTTAAAGAACAATTAAGTGTACACTGTTAGTAATACACCACACATAGTGGTATAACTAAGATTAATTTAGTTTTACAAAATGTACAATACGTACTGTGTAAATATTGTAAAACAGCTAACCGCCAAGTTAAGTAAACGGCTGAGATTATAATCTGGCGATAGATCCTGAAACAACATACCTGATTTTAATAAGGTAATAAATTGAAATAATAACATAGAAATATATGGGGGTGTAACTTTTAGTTTTTTCAAAAGTGCATGGGTACTTTGGGATTTATATATGGATTGACATCTGTTGTATCAAGACAATCTACTTTACCTAGACTAAACATGAGTACCTGGGGACCGAGCTTTGCTCGGGGAAAATCATTCCCCCACTCTGCGATGCCAGCCTTTACTACTTCCTTCACCATTTCCTACGTCACGGACCTGTTTCCTTCCCTTCTCATACCATTTAAGTATTATAGATACATTAATCTAACTGCCACAAACGGTTCCCACACTCTTCGATGCTAAACTTTACTACTTCCTACGTCGTGGACCTTTTTTAATCTTTTTTCCATAGCATTTTAGTATTTTAAATACATTAATTTAATTTCCACAGACATAACCCACACTCTGCACTGCCAGCATTTACTACTTCTTTCACCATTTTCTATGACTTGGACATGTTTCCATCCCTTCTCATAGCATTTCAGTATTTCAATTTCAGATACATAAATCTAACGGTTACAATTGGTTTCCAGTTCTCAGACTCCACACTGCTCGCCTTTACTACTTCCTTCACTTCTTCCTACGTCACGGACCTGTTTCCCTCCCTTCCCATTGCATTTCAAGATTTCAGATACCTTAATATAATCCTCATAAACAGTTCCCACACTCCAGACTGCTCGCCTTGACTACTTCTTTCACCACTTCCTACGTCGCGGACCTGTTTTCCTCCCTTCCCATTGCATTTCAAGATTGCAGATACCTTAATCTAATCCTCATAAACAGTTCCCACACTCCGGACTGCTCGCCTTGACTACTTCTTTCACCACTTCCTACGTCGCGGACCTGTTTCCCTCCCTTCCCATAGCATTTTAGGGTTGCAGATATCTTAATCTAATCGTCATAAACAGTTACCACACTCCGGACTACTCGCCTTTACTACTTCCTTCACCACTTCCTACGTCGCGGACCTCTGTTTCCCTCCCTTCCCATAGCATTTTAGGATTGCAGATACCTTAATCTAATCGTCATAAACATTTCCCACACTCCGGACCGCTCACCTTTACTATTTCCGTTACCACTTCCTACATCACGGACCTGTTTCCTTACCTTCCCATAGCATTTTAGGATTGCAGATACCTTACCATCCTTATGGAACAGCTGGGGCCACTTTTATTGTTAGTTATGTCTGGTTTTCTGTAGATGTCGTGTTTTGTTTACAATTTGTTTATATTATTTTAGGGTTAGTTTCTCATTATTTGTGTCTCACTGTTTGGTTAAATATAGCCAACGATAGTAATACAATAATATAGTACGGTAATATAGTGAACGAGTTATCGTTTATGATTGAATAGTATTATTTGGTTAAACGAGGTTTTAAATTACTGAAATAACAAGAAACAAATTGTAAACAAAGCACGACATCTACAGGAAACCGGACAGAACTAACAATAAAATTGGCATCAGCTGTTCCATAAGGATGGGAAATCTACCTTAATCTAATCGTCTAATCGTCATAACAGATCCCACACTCCGCACTGCTAAGTTAGCCTTTACTACAATGTATCGAGTAAGCTTCAGTATAATCATTGCTCAATAGTAACAAGTGATGTTTTTTTGCTTTTGTACTGTATTTTGTAATTTCTAGTATACTGTGGGTAGTTGCCTTTATGAACACATGTGTTACAACTTACAAGTCTTTTGTTTAATCATTGCTCAATAGTAACAAGTGATGTTTTTTTTTGCTTTTGTACTGTCTTTTGTAATTTCTAGTATACTGTGGGTAGTTGCCTTTATGAACACATGTGTTACACCGCAACTTACAAGACTTTTGTTTACTTTTTCCTTGTTATTTAATTCAACCAACATGGTTACTTAGCAACCCATAAGACTAATGTTAAAAATATGTGACTTTTAGTTTTATTTTTCTACGTAATTAGATTTTTGTTGGCAGTTGTAACTGTAGTAAACTCGTTTTTAGGCCAAAAATAATCTATTTACAACATTTGAAGAAAATCTTCGGAGCCGTTTTCGAGATCTTAGTACAAGCAAGCAAGCATACATACATACAAGCAAACATTGCTCGTATTAGAGTATTAGATTTGTATTGATTGTTTGAATTAATTAATTAAATGCTTCGGAATCCTATACAATAAAGTCGTGGATTATTAAATGTAAAATCATATAAAAAGAAACATATCAATTGAATGTGAAATAAAAAAAAAATAAAGTCAGACTTAATTTGGGTAGGATCACAGAAACCTTTTTACATTAAATATGTTTACTGTGTGAATTTAAGCAGTGGGTGAGGGAAATAGCTAGGCCTACCGTAATGTTAAAAGTACGAACGTTGAAACTAAATATAATTTAACAAACACGTTTTGTAATGTTTGACATCTGAAAGAGCCTACATCAACGCAGATCCTGAGGAACAGATGATCCTTAGATCCTCCTACTTGGCACAGAATGATCCTGCTTTATCCAGATGACCAAGTCGTCATTCTTATCACGTACCACACACATGTTGCTTCAAGTAATTACTACTGTAATAACTACCTACGGACAGAGGCTGTGTCACAATTCCAGTGTGTCGGTGAACTGGGTACGAATCCAGGTTCTTTTTATGACACAAAATATAATATAATGGTATTGGTATTTATTAAGTAATGTGTACGGGGTATTCAATAATCGTTCTAGATAACTTCTTGATTAGTGTTTCACGTGTTGATGTTACTATAGAGCTTTAACAAAGAACGTCTTCCAAAACTTTTTTTTAAATTTTACCGTAAAAATTTCAAGACTGTCATATGCATAGACCTACAAGACTGTGCAATGATAGCGATAGAATCTGATTTCATTTGGTCATGCCGGACTTCATCAGGTCCAATAAAAAACTACGGAAAATCTATTACTATTTTAACATCGTTAATACGTGTTCACGGTGCAAGTGTAGATACAAATATTGAGAAGTTTTGGAAGACGGATATAATTTTATTCGTTTTATCTGAGAAAATGAATGAACGGAGAATGGATGAATGAATGAATGAATGAATGAATGAATGAATGAATGCATGAATGAATGAATGAATGAATGAGTGAATGAGTGAATGAGTGAATGAATAAATAAGTGAATAAATGAATAAATGAATTATTTATTCCGTAAATGTGTATAGAAGATTACGCATTTCTACTGTAAGTTTGACTGACCCCTCCATACCTTGTCCAAGTAATCCCTGTAGTAAAGTGTCACAGTTTCCAGCTTGTGATAAGACAATCATAAGTTAACTGGCGTGATAAGAACTAACATGCATTCATTTACAATGTAATATGCAATGTTGGATTTGTAGAAACTATAATATACAATATTTACTAAATTTTGTTCCTAAAGAGTGCAACATTGATGAAAACTAGCCAGAAAATGCCTACATTATATATTTTAGGAATTAAATATAATTAAAACCTAAACAAAACTATGTAGTAAGTGCAGTTTTTAAACGTATAACCAACTACACATCTCCACGAAAGCTTCAATAAGATATAAATATAACGTATGTAAATATAACATAATTAATGAGCCCTAAATAAAAATGCCAATTAGAGATTCGAATCATCCTAAAAGTTGTTACATTTATATATTCCAAGAAGGAAAATATTTTGAACGATT